AGGACACTGGTTTGAGGACATCTGTAAGAGAGCAGGACTTGACAGACTCTGGCCTGCAGTGTGTTTTCAGACGTGCCTGCGTGCACCAAGCCATGGGAGAATGGATGTACACCTGCTGTCTGCCAACAGGTCGGTGTTTTGTTTTGGTCTCCCCACGACCGTCTCGTCTCAAGGGTCCTGATGTCGCTAAGGCTTCTAAAGATTTCTCATTTCCCTCATACATCCGTCCATGACTTACAGAGAACAAAAACAAGAAGAGGGCAGGTGACTGCTAAAGGGACCCCTGGTTCTTTACAGGACCAGGCCTGGGTCTCTAAAGCCAGAGTCCATTGCCACCTGAGCTCCTCCCTGGCCCTCAGCTTCCTTTGGAAGCAGAAGCCTCTCCTCCCCAGTCTCCCCTCAGATTCTCACAGTGAGGAGATATATTCAAAGGGCTCCCTGTAAGCCTGATACTCTGTTTGGTGTCACCAGGTGGGCAGGTCCTGCTTTTCTGTGTGTCCTGGGGCTGTGATAAGCAGAGTCTTGTACAGAGGGTCTCGATAGAGTTTGACACAGAAGTAGTGAGCAGGCACTGGGAGCCCTTAGTGAGCCACAGGGGAACACTAACTTAAGATCAGATGTGGAAGGTATGCATTCAGTGTAAGGACCCCAGAAGGTCAGAGTGAGCGACTTCCCAGTGGCCAGAATAGAAATAGACAGGGTAGTATCAAGATGGAGCTGAGAAGATCTGGGGTCATGCCCAGCATAGAGGAAACTGAAATAGGAGAGAAAAGCCAGACACTAGGCCTTCCCCTACCATCCTCACAGAGAGAAGGTGTGAAAGGTACATGAGTGGCCTTGGCACCAAGCAGGTGTCTATAGGCTATTCACACAGCCCAGCATGACCAAGATAGTCTAGATGTTTCCTTGGCAACAAGATAGTGTCATGAAGCTGGTACCAGGCTGAGCATGAATGATGCCCTCTCTGGGAGCTGCAGTGATCACTTCTTCCACCCATACCTCAGAAGTCATTCTCTGTTCCTCATCTGTGAAAGAAGGGACCTGAGTCCTTGAGATACTCATAGGGCTCGCTCAGAAATTTGCCTGATATATTAAAGACTCTTCTCGCAATGGCTAATGTTTTCTTTGGTGAGGCGTTGTGTTGAAAGAGACAGCTGTGAACACGTATTTTTTGTCCTCCCGACTATCCATGCCTGTGCTCCAGAAGAGAAAAGACAACCCTCAAATGAACTTCATTTCACATTCTTACAGGGGTGATGCTTACAAAGAAGTGATCTGGACCAGTAGACACTAGGAAACTGTAGAGCCCGAGACCTAGAACATTGGGTACTCTGTTGTCCAAGTACTGAGGATACAGGTGGGGTGTATTCTAACTGGATCACAAGGGCAGAGACAGCCACATGGAACAAGCCACCAATTGTCTAGGACCTTGGTTTGACAGAGGACTCTGAGGAGAGAGCTGCAGAAATAAATATCACCTCTTCCTCCCTTCTCTTAAACCTCTTGACAGTGCCCTTATAGGGCAATCGGAACCTTTCCTTGTGCCATCTGTCTCAGTTACATTAGCGTTTGATTGGAGGGTTGCTTACAGTTTCAGAGAGTCAGTCTGTGATCATCATGGCGGGACATGTGGCAGCAGGCAAGCAGGCATGGCTCTGGAGCAGTAGCTGAGAGCTCACTTCTGATGCAGAAATTACAGGCAGAGAAAGAACGTGACTGCTTGGCATGGGTTTGTAAAGTCTCAAAGCCCACCCTTCGTGACACACCTCCTCCAACAAGGCCACCTTGTAGGCCACACCTCCTAATACTTTCTAAATACTCTACCTACTAGAGTATTTACACATCCCGACAGTCAGCCCTGCTGCATATCTAGCCCCTCTGAGAGAGAGAGAGAGAGAGAGAGAGAGAGAGAGAGAGAGAGAGAGAGAGAGAGAGAGAGAGAGAGAGAAGCATGCA